GGGGGGGGGGCGGGTCTTGGGATGGGCGTGGCCTAGCCTGGGTGGGCTGGGACGGAGGCCTGGCAGAGGGGAATGACCCGTCCCGCCCCCCAGGCCGAGGAGGAGCTCATCAAAGCCCAGAAGGTGTTTGAGGAGATGAATGTGGATCTGCAGGAGGAGCTGCCGTCCCTGTGGAACAGGTGAGGGGGGGGGGTGGTGGCGGGCCGAGCCTCGGCCGCCCTCCCCTCCTGAGGCGGCATGGCCATTCTGCGTGCCCTGCTCCGTGCCCTCCCAGGGCTGGGTCCAGTGAGGGTGGAGGCGAAGCAGGCTCTCCTGGGCTGCCCACCCTGGCCTGCAGTTCACCTGGCCTTTCTTCCCTCCCCCCTGCAGCCGTGTGGGTTTCTATGTCAACACATTTCAGAGCATCGCAGGCCTGGAGGAGAACTTCCACAAGGAGATGAGTAAGGTAGCGCCCCTGGGCTCTGCTCCACCTGCCAAGGGCCAGGGTCAGAGGCATGGGTGGGCCGAGCTTCCTCTTTCCTGCTGGGGTTGGACACATGCTGGTGACCACAGGGGGACCCTCTGGGCCCCTGAGAAGCAGTGTCAGGGCCCAGTCCTCAAGGAACAGAGTGTCAGGGCCCAGTGGGAGCTGCTGGGTGCTCTGGGGAGGCTTCGAGTGGGCCCCAGGGGTCCAGCTCCGGCCCCCTCCCAGCTCCCAGTTCTATTCTCCTTGCCTGGGTGGAGCCCACCACCCTCAAACTGGAAACGTGCTCTCAGGCAGCCTTGGCCCAGGGAGCTCAGTGTCAGAAAATGGTGGCAGTTTTCCAATTTGTAGGCAGATAAGAAATAAATTACTAAAATTTTCCCAATTAAAAAAATGTTTTAAGTTTGCTCTACCTACAGAATCTGGCGCAAGAAGGAGTCTGATTAGCTTAAATTCCTACGTTGTGTTGTCTTCATTCTGATTAAACTGGCAGTTAAGCTGCAAAGCTGAGTTGGAGAAACGCGGCGTTGGCAGCTCCCTCCCTCCCTGTGCCATGGGTGGACCTGACTTTGTCTCCTGGGCCCAGAGGAATGAAGTGATTGTGGGGCATTCCAGGCCCAGGGCAGGAGGAGGGCTTTTGCCAGCTTGGGGCCTGTCCTGAGTGACCACCCTCAGTACGGTTTCCTGCCTGGTAGGCCTTCCCTTTCCTTCCTACTTTTTCTTCTTCCCTTCAAAGATTTGAGACAACTTGTAAAAAAATTTTAAAAAACAGAGAGAGGTGTTTTGGGAAGAAAACATTTATGTAAAGTGGGAGGAAAATTTAGCTCTGGGCTTCCTAGTGGCTAAAGCAGAGGGAAGTATACTCAGTAAAGAGAGAATCACAAGGTGCATGGGGTAAGCCCCTCGTCTTGCCTGGGCTTTTGGTGAAACCTCTGGCAGTTGTAACGTGGCCTGAAAGCATCTTGGCAAGTGACTTCAGCAATTAGGATCAACAGTTAATTTGCCAAAACAACTGAAAAAAATTAAAAACAGTACAAGCTCTATGGGGCATTTTAGGAAACGCCGCATAAGTAGGAAGAAGAAAAAGGTGGTCCCAGAAACAGTAGCTGTTCGCAGGGCAGCCCACTGCTTCCTCCTTTTTTCCTGTGGGTTTTCTGGGACAGGTGTGCTGGTTCCCTGCCCCCAGTGATGGGAAGAGAAGAGCTTGCTCCTGGTTGGGGCAGGGGCACGGGAGGGGCTGGTGGGGAGGAAGAGAATCAGGGATGTTGTTAGGGAGAGGGGGGCTGTTTGGCGGCCCCCACCCAACCGGCTTGCTGTCCCTCCTGCAGCTCAACCAGAACCTCAACGATGTGCTGGTCAGCCTGGAGAAGCAGCATGGGAGCAACACCTTCACGATCAAGGCCCAGCCCAGGTGTGTGATGCTCCCCCCCACCCCTGCCGAGGGCCGCTGGGGGCTGAGAGAGGTGTGGTCTGGGGCCGGGCTCTTTGCTGAGGTCCTTTCTGGCTGGGCCTCCCTGTGCTCAGGGGAGCAGGTGAGGGCGCCCCTCCTCCTCGACCCTGTGTCCCATCTGGGAAGGAGCTACCCGGGCAGCCTGCAGCTCCCCTGCCTGGGCCTGGCTCCCCTATCTGTGCAGCTTTGCAGGTGGGGCCCGGGGACTAAATGATTCAGCCCAAGGGGAAGGGAGCCTCCTCGTAGAGCGGGGGCCTGGTCCCAACGTTATCCGAGGCCCCGGATGGGGTGGGGTGCCCTTGTTCCTGGCTCTGCCTAGAGGGGAGCCCTGCTTCCTGAGGGGAGAGCTCCAGGGAGGAGGGGAAACACCTGGGCCTCGGCTGTGGCCCGTGGGAAACCGCAGCAAGTCTGAGATTTCCCTTCCTTTCTGTCCGTGAGCTGCCGTGCATCGCAGCACAGTGTGGAGAGCAGCGATGCACCTCGCTCTCCTCGGCTACAAGGCGGGGTGATTGCATCTGGTTCTTGGGGTAATTAGGGTGTCCCCTAGGAGGAGGAAGGCAGTCGATATTCAGTGAACGTCACTGTCCCTCTTCTCTCCTGCAAACACAGTATGTGTGAGGGAGGGAGCAGCCCACAGGGTGCCCTGGGGGCAATAAAGGCGAAAACGTGTTTCCCAGGTCACCGCCTGGCCTGGAGGTCATGGTGGCGCATCCAGGATGCGTGAGGAGGGTGGAGGGCGCCGCCCACCCGGGCAGTGCAGGCATCAGGGGCCAGGCCACCTTGGGAAAGGGCTGGTCTGAGGGGAGAGGAAGGGCCGTGGAGGTTCGTGAGCCTCCTTTGCAGCAAAGTGGGCAGCCAGGTTGCCACCTCTCCCAGGGCCCCCCCGCTGGCCCGCTGACCCCGGTCCTTCTTGGGCCCCAGAGCTCCTGTGGCTGGACCCCGGGCAGGGCGGGTGGCCAGTGCTGTCCCGGCCTGAGCCGCCTGCTGCTCGCCAGGTCCTGCTTCAGGGCAGCATCCTCTTCTGCTTGTTCTGTGGGCACCACCTCAGCATGCCTGGCAGGACGCGGAGGCCGGTGGGGGGGGCCCAGGACTGGACAGCTGGGGCCGTGGGCAGGACTGGGCCCTCTTCCCGGCCTCCAGGAGTTAGGAGGGCTTCTGCTCTTAGCCCTGCTCTGAGCAGAGGGGCTGCCGATGAGGGAAGGGAACAGGCCAGGCCCACATCTGCATTTCCCCCAAACGAAGGCCTCAACGTCCCGCCCGTCCCCACAGAAAGAAAAGTAAACTGTTCTCCCGGCTGCGCAGAAAGAAGAACAGGTACCGGCAGTGAGTGCTGTGTTGGGGGGCCTCGGAGGCCAGCACCCCGGCCCCTGTGCATGCGCCTGGCCCCGCCGAGGGCGCCACTAACTCCTAACTCGCCTTCCTGTGTGTGGTGTGCGTGTTGGGGGGCAGAGGGCAGAGGGGTGTCGCTGGGAACCAGGGGCGGGCAGACCGCCTTAGCACGTTCCTCTTGGCCTGCGGCCTGACCAGGAGTGGAGGATGCAGCCAGAAGGGAGGCCGGGAGGCTCAGGGAGAGGGCTGCTGCAGCCCCGCGGTTTGTAGGAATTCTGTGTGTGCGTGTGTGTGTACATGTACTGGATGTATGTGTATTCTTTAAGGAGGCAAAGACATTCCCATAAAACACATTCAGTAAAGGTGAGAAGGAACCAGCGAGTCTCCCATGCATCTGTGCCATTGTATGGCCCCCCGCCATGCTCGGGCAGGTGATGGGGTCACTAGTTTCTGTCTGTCCTTCTAGACCTGCCCGGTCCAACACAGTGGCCACCTGCCTCATGTGGCTGGTGAACACTGGAAATGTAGCCAGTGTGACTGAGGAGCTGAATTTTTAATTTATTTAAATTAAATTTAAATTATGTAGCTGGTGGCTGGTCTCGGTCAGCACTGTTCTAGAGTTTCTTTAGGCAAGTACAGCATAGATTTTTATTTTGCACCCAGTAGCAGGCCGTGCACACCGTTTGTCCTTGTTGGTACTGAGACTCGACTTGGTGGCTTCACCCTCTCGTCCCTGCTGTGAAGACCCCCCACCCCCTGTTTATTTACCCCCTCTGCCCGTTGCCTCTGCCGGTTGCCCGGGTTCCCCGGGAGGACCCGTGGGAGCAAAGGCTTGGGGCCCGGGAGCGGGCCTGGCTGTGCGCTGGCGTGAGGGGTGGACGGCAAGCAAGCTGGCTCGGAGGCCCGTGGGCTCAGGCTGAGGAGCGGGGCTGCCCTGAGCGCAGAGGCTGCTGCGTGACGCATGGGGTGAGACTCACTTTGCCTCTAGGATGCGTGGCTTTCTCCTGCTGTGGGGCTCGGCGCCCCTGCACCTGGTGGAGGCCTGAGGGAGGCTGGCCAGCCCCTGGCAGCCGCTCCTGGGTCCCGCCCTGGTCCCCCCTGGGGCCCGCAGACCTCAGCTCCGGGTGTGGTTGTCACTGTGTCCAGGGCAGGCCCTGCTGCGGACACCTGCCTGTTCCCAGTGCTCACGGCTGTGTCGCCTCATTTCCACCCGTCCTGCACACGAATGTGCAGTTTCACATGTGGGTGCACGGGGACACACACTCGTGCACACGCGGGCGTCACGTTTTTCTAGTGAGTCTGGACACACACGTGCACCCTCAATTTCCCAGGATCTACGTGGACACACACACGTGCGCGCACGTTTTCACACACGGATCCCCGGGGCATTGGCACATGCACACACCCTGTCACACGCACACTCCTTCCTGGACGCCGCGGCCTCCCTGCATCCGGGCCCCTCTCTTGTCTCGCCTCCGCAGTGACAACGCCCCTGCAAAAGGGAACAAGAGCCCCTCTCCTCCGCCTGATGGCTCCCCTGCCGCCACCCCCGAGATCAGAGTCAACCACGAGCCCGAGCCGGCTGCTGCGGCCACCCCCGGGGCCGCCCTCCCCAAATCCCCGTCTCAGGTAGGAACTTGTCTCGGTGGCCTGTCCCTCCCTTCCTTCCTCTGCCTCCTGCTCTGCTGCCGTTCCCCTCCATCCCTGTCCCCTGTCCCTGCCGGCCCTGGCTCCTCTCCGTGGCCCCGGCCCCTGCCAGGGTCACAGGGGCATCTGTGACCGTCTGTCTCCTCCTTAAGTGTCCCCCCACCCCCACCTGCTGTAGCATCCCCTTCTCTCCTCTCCCCTGGCCTTTGGACTGCTTGACCTTCTCCGTCTTCCTTTCCTCCCGAGACACAGTCTCCAGGGGAGACTGCATCCAGATCTGCGCAGGTGGCTGCCTCCCCCTCTTCCTTGCCTTCTTCCTTGTGGGGGGCCATGCGGGACCCTGAAAGGGGTGTCGCGAGGAGGGGCTCAGTGAGGGGAGAGGGAGGGGGAAGCCTGCTCCCCCCGTCAGTTTTCTCCAGGTTTCTGCAGCGTCCCTGGGAGCTGCAAAGGGAGGAAGGAGGGGTGGGGTCCACCAGGCAGGACCATCTGAGCCCTGCTAGGCTGTCCCCTGGCCCTTTGGCTCCTGGCCGAAGCTCTCCTGGTTGTGGGCCCGCTCGACAGCTGATTAGGAGAGCGATGCTGAGAGGGTGTTGAGAGCCTGCACTTGACTCGAGCCAGGGGCCGGACCCTGCGCCAGCCTTTCTGTATTTTCATTCATTGTCCTCACAACCAGCCTGTACGGCAGATGCTGTTATCACCCCAGCGACAAGCGATGAAACCCAGGCTTGGGCGGGGGTGGGGGTGGGGGTGTGTGACTTGCTAAGGTCCCCGAGTGGGCAGGTGTGTGGCCCTCTGCGGGGCCCTGGCTGTGTGCTGGCCTCGGGGGTGACAGCCAGAGGCTGGGCTGCAGCTCCTCCAGGGGTTGGGGTGGGCAGAGGGCCTGGGCGTGCAGGAGCAGAGGCAGGGGACTGGACACTCTGCTCTCTCTCAGCTCCTGTTTCTCTCCTCAGCCTCCCCCGAGGGCGGTGAGAGCCAGACCCTCCGATGCCAGCCCCTGGCGGCCCCGCAGGCTCTTTCCTTCTTTTCTGTCCTGTTCTCTCCTCTTCTCTCTTCTTTCGCTCCCTTGCCCTCCGCCCTCCCCTCTCTCTGCACAGGGTTTCCGACCGCCCGCTTCGGCCCCTCCCGGGGGCCCCTGTGGTCTCGGTGTCCATGTCTCGGGGAGCAGTGGCTCTCCTTGTTTCGTCCTCCTCGGTGGCCGGGGGTGTGACTAACGTGGCTTTGTCTCTGTCTGTCTCCCTGGCCCCCATGCTCTGCTGTGCGGCCCCCCAACTGCTGCCGACCCCCAGCTCCGGAAAGGCCCACCGGTCCCTCCGCCTCCCAAACACACCCTGTGCACGGAGGTCAAGCAGCAGCAGACCCTCAGCCTGTTTGAGGACACAACTGTCCCTGAGATCAGCGTGACCACCCCCTCCCAGGTCAGCCGCGGCTGCCGCGGCCCAGCCCTCTCTCCCTTCTCTCGCTCTTTCAGGGTGCGCATGGCCTTCCCCCCCCCCCCCCCCCCCCCGCCCCCCCCCCCAGCCACACCCAGCTCTTTCATCTCCTGCTCTCTGGCCCCCTGGCTTTCAACAAGCTTCTCTTCTGCAATCCTTTGGGTTTCAGCTTAGGGAGCACTTCCTCCTGGAAGTCTTCTTCCCCTGACACACAAACAGCGCCCCCCGTCCTCCCCCCACAGTCTGTGCACCCGCGTCGCTCTGTACTTTCCTGTTCTCAGCACTATTCACATTAGATCATCAGTAACTGGTTGCTTGTCTAGCTGCCTCCGCATCAGACTGTCAGCTCCATGAGGGAGGGAGGCGGTCAGCTCATCCACCATCATATTGCCAGCACAGTGCCAGGCAAATGGTGCACAGCTTGTGGCAGAAACTCCATCAGCCCTCCTATCACTGTCTTATCACTTAATACACTTCCCCTTAGCGACATGGACTCCTATTTTCCTTCTGTCCATTACTGCATATTTCCCTGATCTCCAATGCATTCCCTTAGACTTTGGGTAAAAACAATCCAACAAAAACAAACAAAATGAAATCCAAAAGCAAACAAAAGAAACAAACACCAGAAATTGGTTCCCTAATAAGTTATTATGCAAGTTGTGCAAATCAGCTGCTCTCCTTGAGCTGTTGATGGGCCTGATTTAACTTCAGTAAAGGATGGAAAGTCAGCAAACGTCAAAATCCACACTTTTCCAGCATGTGGGACTGCCTTGTTGGCGTGGAAAAGGAGGTAAATCAAAAGCTTGGAGACTCAATCTTGTAATAACCTATAATGGAAAAGAATCTGAAAAAGAAATATATATATATTTATATATGTAACTGAACCACTTAGCTGTACACCTGAAACTAACACAACATTATAAATCACCTATACTTCAATAATAAAAAAAAAAGTCTTGGAGACTGAAAAAGTGAAGAGCTGATCTAAGAAATGTGGGGTGGCTGCTTCAGAGGGGGTGCTGAGTGGGGAAGAGACCTGTGGGGCTTTGGTGGGAGATGCAGGTAGGTCACGGGTGGGTTGGAGATGGCCCCCACCAGAATTACAGCAGAGATTTAATGGCCAAGAATTGCAGTTGATGAAGGGGGAGGGGAAGAAAGCTAGGGTGTGAAGGAGGAGGAGGGTCCCCAAATCTGATCAGTTTGGTCCAGTACCGGTGACTGACATCTGAAATGTCAATTGAGTCTGGAAAGTGTGACTTTTGATTATTCTGTTCCCAATTGATTATTTTGTTTTTATTAAAAAATTCATCTTTCGGATGCGATTCTTTTTTTTTAAAAAAAATATTTATTTAGGGACTTACCTGGTGGTCTGGTGGTAGAGAATCCGCCTTACAATGCAGGGGATGCCAGTTTGATCCCTGGTCAGGGAACTAAGATACCACATGCTGCAGGACAACTAAGCCCGCGTGCCACAACTACTGAGCTCGCACACCTCAACTAGAGACCCCCTTCCCGCCCCCTTCAGGGTGCCCATGGCCTTCCCCCCCCCCCACCACCCCGGTGCCTCTGCCTCAGGAGCAGGGGTCGGCTCTGGGCCTCTCTCTCGCACATCCCTCCGTCCCCCCACCCGTCATCCCTCATCTCTGAGCACGTGGCCAGACGTAGGGACACGGGCAAACAGTCCTAGTAGAGACCGTCGGCTGCGCAGTGGCCTCTCCGTTTTATTGATGCTGTGGCCAAAAGGGGCAGGGAGCACGGAGGACCTGGGCCAGTCAGGGAAGGCTTCCTGGAGCAGGTGACGTTTGCCTACGAGCAGACACCGTGCGTTGGCCAAAGGTGGTAGTGTGCGAGCGTTTAGGTTAGGACGGGTGAAGGACAGGCTCAGGAACTGCCGGGAGTTCGTGCGCGTCAGGAGAGCACTGCTTGGGTGGCGGTGAGGAGGTGACTCGCAGGGTTGGGAACACCTGCAAGGCGCTGAGACTTTAGCTCCCAGAGCTGCTGACCCCACTTGGAGCCGGGGCTGTGGCTGGGCTGCAGAGCCCGGCTCCTGCTGTCCATGCCCTAGGAGGCACGTAATGCCCATCCCCAGGGGGATGGAGGGAGGGTGGAGCAGGGGAGGTCACTGTGGTGGCAGGGGGGTGGGCTGCACATGGTCGGGTCAGCTCACAGAGGCCGCAGTGCACCGACCACTCCAAGCCTGGCCTCTGGGCCTCACAGCCGGGCCGCCCTGTCCCCGCCAGGCCTTACCATTCGTGCAGGCTGGCTAGTCCCAGGCTGTGCTGGGCCCACGTTGCAGTGCTGCTGTGGGCTTATCCTGCCTGGGTCTCTGGGTTCTGCCTTGTGCAGGCTCCTTTGCAGAAGCTCAGAGGCCTGCAGGGAGGGGCAGGGCTGGGGGGTGGCACATCGGGGGAGAGGCAGTTAGGAGCGGAGGACCGTGCTCTCCGTGATGAGGGACCATGGGGTGAGTGGGCTTCAAGCCCCCATGGGAGGACTTTGGGTCGGAGCTAGGAACTTTCAGTGCAGGGCAGCTGGGGGAGGGTGGGGGTTGCCCTGCCTCGGGGGACCCGGGAGGGAGCCTTTCTGGAGAGCCTGGCTGAGGCTGGCCCCGGGCACTCCCGGGGCCTTGGGGAACTGCGGCCTCAGGGCAGCTTGTGACTGGGACGCTTGCCGCCTGGAGCCTGCCTCCGCCTTGGGGTGCACGCGAGGGCTAGTAGACCCTGTGCAGGGAATGGAGCCAGCCGCTGACCTACCGGGCCTGGTTCGGTTTTCAGTCTTCTCTGGGAGGGGCTGTCCCCACTTCACAGGTGAGGAATTGAGGGCCTCACCTGCAGCCAGGCCACCCGCTGAGCGTGGCCCTTGCGCTGCGCCGCAGTGCTCTCTGCATGCCTCCCCTCTGTCCTTCCACCCACTCCTCGGAGCCGGGGCCCCGCCCAGTGGGGTTGGAGAGCGCTCGCCAGGGTGCTTTGCATGGGGCTGGGGTGGGCTGGTCCCCCAAGGATGCTGTGCCGACAGCGCTGCTCTGCTGGGCTCTGGTGAGTAGCCTGCGTGCCTGCCCCTGAGGCCGGTTCTGGGCCTGCATGGTGGGAGGCTGGCCTGCTGGGAGGTGAGCAGAGAGTGCGAGGTCTGCCCTTGGCCTGGTGACCCTGTACCCTTGGAGTCTGGTGGGTGGGGCGGCGGCTGCCTGGGCCTGGCTGGCTTCTTAGAGGGGTGGGTGGTGGGGCCGTGAGGGGCAGAGGAATGCTGCCTGCAGCCGGTGAGGGCACCCAGGCCCAGCCTGCGCGGCCTCCCGGACACTTGGTCCCCTAGAGATGGCAGTGACCTTCCTCCCAGGGTCGTTGGACAGGGCTTGACTTGAAGGAGAGTCCGTGGCTGGGGATGAGTGTGGGGCGGGAGTGAGTCCCCTGAGCTTAGACCTGGGCCCTCTGCGCTCTGCGCCTTATCCCCTGAGCTGTGCGCTGGCGGCACCAGCCCAAGGACTGTGGGTCTTGGGTCTCCCCGCACAGGCCGCAGCTCAGGTGGGAAGGCCCCCCCGGGGAACCTCTGCCCATGCTTCCAGGTCTTGGGTCCTTCTAAATGGAGGACCTCAGGTGCTTTGGGCTGGAGGGCGTGTCCCGTCAGTTCTGGGCCCCATCAAGGGGGTGGGGAGGGAAGCTGGCTGGCCTGGGCTTGTGGGGCTGCGGCCCTCCCAGCCCTGCCTGAGGGGAGGACCCTGGGCTGAGCCAGGGCAGGCATAGCCCTCCCTGTCCCCGGGGAAGCCCCTTGTGTGAGATGGGGCCACAGGGGAGCAAGCCCTCCTCCTAGGAAGGCAGCGTGTCCGCTGGGCACTGGTGCCAGGCGGCTTGTCCTCCAGGGTGGCTCTGGGAAAGACCCTTTTCTTCCATGATCGTCTGGCCCAGCTTACTGAGGGGCTGGCTTCTCACAGTGTGGACGGGGCCACTGCGGCCCGTCTCCTGGGGCCATTCCTGTTCCACGTACATCCCAGGGCTGCACTCAGCCCCGCTGAATGGGAAACTTGGGGGGGCTGGGGAGGGACGTGCAGTGTGAACACGGGTGCTCAGGTGTTGGGGCCCCCCCCGCTCCGCCCCTCCGTTACGACGGGGCTCCCGGGCTCTATGTGCTGGCTCAGCCCTGAGCTGGCTGGGGGTGGGTGTCACCACAGGACTGCCTATCAGTCTGCGGCAGCAAGGGGAGGCCTGTACCCGTCCAGGGGCCCTCCGAGCCGGGGGACTGAGTGTGGTCTTGTCCAGCCTGTGCCTTGGCCTGGGCTGCTGCTGGTGGGCGCAGGCCTGGGGAGGCCTCCTCAGCCTGCAGGATGGGAGAGACGCGAGACAGTTGGGGGCTCGGCCTCGGTCTGGTGGGTGGCTGCCTGGCGGCTGGCCGGCAGCCGAGCCAGCCCCAGGTGTGTCCTCGTGTGGGTGGAGCCTGTGCCGGGGGTGTGGTGTGGGTCGTGCCCTTGTGTTGGTGGGTGTGTCTGGGGGCGGGGCCTGCCATGCCCCCCCGGCTGAGCGCTCGCAG